AAGTATTTTCACTGTGACGTCATTTGAGTGTGAATGTGGCCACAAAGGCGGTAACAGCTGTTTAAAGATGGAAACAGTACGGCTGGGTAGAATCGCTGTAGGAATTGGTTAAAACCAATTGGCGATGTGATTAATCTCCTTTCTCTCATCTCCTGTTTCCAAGCCTATCGTTGAGGATTCTTTAGTGAAACTTTTTTTTCTATGAATTTTCAAGGGTCATTGTGAAGTGGTTATCTATTTACTGATACAAGAGCTGAGACCTTGAGAGGGTAAATAACCCCATCAAAGGTCACCCAGCATCTGAATTTAAGTCTGGGTCTTTCTGAATCCTAAGCCTGTCCTGTGTGACGGCTACCTTCCCTGACCAGGAAGAGCCTGCGAGAGGTGGACACTCCCGCCTTCACCCACTGAGCCCTGAAATCCAAGCAGGGGTCTGGGTGATGATGAAGGAGGGGTGGAGGGTGCAGATGCATGATTATATTCTGCTTCTCCATGCCTCCGCTGTGCCTGCTTCTCCTCGTGCCTGCCTAGAGTCTGGGTTTGCCCTTGAGTGGTATGGAGCACCCCAGGGCTCCATCAATCAACATGGGTTGAGCCCCTGGTTCTTCTAAAGATGCTCGAGCTCTGAGGGAAAGAAAGCCTCATTGAGGAAGCAAGGCTGGCCCGGGCCTGAAAGATGTCCGCTGGGGCGATAGAGGGGTGGTAGGCACAGAAGGGAGAGATGGGCATTCCAGACCCAGCATGACTTGTTTTCATAGAGACTGTGGAGCCATGGAAGGGTGTCAGGCAGCGGAGACAGCAGACCAGATGATGAGGGCTGAAACCGGAGTTGGGGATGGAGAGGACAGAATAGGAGCAGATACATCACCCTCTTCCCTTTCCAGAAACTTGCCACACCATCTCTTCACCTTCTCTGAATAGCCTTTCCTGTCTTCTCTATTTCTCAAACTCCTATTCATCCTTCAATGCCCAGTTCAAATATCCTTCTCTGTAAAGCACCCCTCCCCCAAGTCCTCAGATATATGGGGACTTCCTCCTCTGGGCAGTAGGCTGTAAGCCCCGTGAGGGCAGACTTTGCCTTGTTCACTGAACTATTTCCAACTTCTAGCCCAGGTCCTGTTGACTGAACATTGTTGACTCATGAACTGTATGTTCCCATAGCACCTGGCCCTGCACTGTGAGAACCACATAACAACAACAGGGGTATTGGGTGTCCTAACATTGAGCATTTCAGTGCCAGACATCGCTGTGCTGAGCACTTTACACCAACTATCTCTTTAATCTTCACAACCACCCCATGAAGAACAGATTATCCCTGTTTTATAAATGCAGAAAAATAAGCTCAGAGAGGTTAGTCACTAGTCCAGCGACACACAGTTAGGAAGTGGGACCAAGGTGGGATTCACACCCCAAAATCCTCTGAGTCCTGTTTTGGAACTTTTAAACACTACGGTCTGCATCCTCTTTACTTGTTGCATGTCTATCTCTTTATAAAGTCAGAGATTGTCTTATTAATTTAAAAAATCCCTTGTGGACTACCAAACTAAGGTTTGTTAAGCATCTTGTAGGTGCCAGGCCCTCAGTGACAGCCAGCCCACGGTGCTGGAATGAAAAAAAAAAAAGGAGTGGGGCTGAGGTTGACTGACCTGTTGGGGGTACACAGGGGCAGGGCTGGGCTGGGGACTGCTCCCCACCGCAGTCACTGATGGGGAAAGGGGGGGGCGGATCCCCAGGCAGGGCAGGTGCAATTCCCAAGGGCCCAACTGTCTAAGTCCACGGAGGCGGAGGCGAGGCGGACCTGGCCCTGGTGGGCAGGGCGGTGTCTGAAGGCAGCAGGCCCTGCTGAGGGGTGCGAGGCCTCCAGGGCACAGCGTCAGCGGAGTCTGAGCCGCGGTGACTCCGGGCTTGGGAACCGCCGCCGCCAGGGAAGCGGAAGAGGGCGGAGCCCTGCGCGGTGCTGAAGGACGGGCGGGCGGGCGCTCGCTGAGCCTGGTTGAGTGCCCATTGGGCACACGTTCCCAGGCCGGCAAAGACCCGCCAATCAGATACGCCCGCTGCTCCTTATTTGCATGGCCACACCCCTCCACTCCGGCCACTCAGGCTTCGCCCCCAAGCGTGCCTCCTCCGACCCCGCCCCTTTTCTGGCCCCTGTGGGCTACCGGGGCTGGCGTGGGAGGGCTGGGGCCGGGGGGTGCTGGGCTGGACCGGGGGGCGGGGGGTCTGGGGCGGGAAGGGCAGACCTAGGCTGCCAGCCTGGCCGGCCGCACTATTCATAGCTCCGGGGCTGGTGTGGTTCGCATACTTGGCGTTTCTCGCGCCTGGTTCGCCCGAAGCTGTCGCCCCTTCGCGCTCCTCCCTACCTCCTCTCGCCTCCCCTTTCCTCCTCTCCCTCTGCCTCCCCCTGCCTACATCCTCTCTGCCCATCTTCTTGAAATCAGGGGGCAACTCAGGCCGTGAGAAGGGGCGTGCATCTAGGACGGGGCTACAGGGAGGGAGAAGCTGGTAGTAAGGAGGATGCAACGCCGCGGCAGACCCGGCTTCTGTCCGCAGACCGGCCCACCGGGTGCCTGGGCTAGAGCCGGAGCTGTCACTGCTGGGGACCCTGGCAAGCTCCGACGCAGTCCGGGAAGCTTCTCAGAAGCAGCCAAGCTGAGACCTGGAGGACAGGGATCCGTTAAGGGAAGACGAGGGAGGGGGAGAGACAAGGGTTATATTCCAGAGAGAGGGGCTGTGGATGTGGCGGGCCGGCCCTGAGTGGACAGGACTTGGCCAGCTGGGGCGAGGGGACCGAGGACACTGCAAAGGGGATTGAAGCAGCTTCTCCCCCTCCCCATCCTTATTCCAGCACCCCCACTTTCCGGATCTGGTTCCCACTGAGGAAGGGGTAGGATGCAAAAAAAAAAAAAAATAGACAAAGATCTGAAGCAGCCCCAGCACCAGGCAGACACCTCCCAGAGCCTCTCTGAGGAGAAGCTCATTCATCCCTTTACGTTCAGAAATGGTTTGCCCAGCGCTCACCTTGTGCCAGGAGCTGGGGATTGGACAGCCAGCAAAGCAGCCGGTCCCTGCCTTCCAGAACTCACAGTCCTGGGGTGGGGTAGGAAGATGGTCAAAATGACCTCGTAATTATATAGACACCAGCTCAAGGTGCTGTGAGGGGTGCAGAGGGACCAGCCCTGGTTAGGGCCCCAGAGGAGGTGTCTCTGGGGCAGTGACTTTTTTTTTTTTCCTCCTGAGAAATACAGGGTGGGTAGTAGTTAGTTAGGGTGTGTGTTGGTGAGGCAGGGAGGGGGCTGGGGAAGAGGAAACAGCATTCCAGAAACAGCATGTGCAAAGGGCCTGAGGCTGGAAGGGTGCCGGGTCCTCAAAGGAACTGGAAGGAGGCCAAGGGAGCTGGAACACAGAGGAAAGGGGTGCGGTGGGCGTGTGGGAGCCTGGAGGCATGTCCCAGGGAGTCTGGTGGCCATAGCATTAAAGCAGCCAGTCTGGACTGTCAGGGGAGTGGTGGCAGCGAGGAGCAGAGCGGTGGACATGGTGAAGCGGATGGACCCGGAAG